GCAAGCTGTACAGTACAAGTACATACTGTATGGCAAAATGGACAGTTTAAGCCAATTCAATTATCCTCTGCCAGGGAAATTTATGTGATACTACCATGTCATCTGACCTGTACCCTGTACTAGTACTTTAACCCTTTAAATTCTACTGTAATTCCTCTTAAATATACTTTTGTTGATGGATAACAGCAACACACTAGACAAATTGGAGTAATTGGCCAGTCAGGATTCTGGTGGGGGATGTGTATTTTCCCCGGACAATTATTTCCCGGTAGGCTGCAAATACACACACAACAGAGTAACCCCAACTCAAGAAAATCGATAACAAAAGCTTTATTTCCTAAAAATAACATAAATTATAGATCATGGTTACTTGTACAATGTTATAATGAACATTATTAATAGAAAAAAATCTTACAATGTATTTAGTTGTGATAGGGGGAGACTTATTTTTGATCAGTATTGAAATACGTTTTTAAACTTCTGAAAAATTACAGTTGAATATTTAACAAAATTCACTAATGCTTCATATGAAAATATTCTTGCTTAACTTTAATGATTTCACAATAACGAAAATGTTTTAAGCTCTGTGAGATGGAGTACAAAGGGAATGCGGGCTGAAAATTTGGTTTGGCTTTCTCCGAGAGGAGATTTCATGTTGAAGACGACATTATACAGAGGTCTTAAAGTTAATGGTTAACAACTCTGTAAGTGTACACCGGTACATGGTCTCCCAGTAAACAATGTGAAATAAATAATGAATAATGAATCAATGTATGAATCTATAAATGATTGTATTTATTTGTCTAATGAGCTTTTTAAATTGTGGTCTGTCTTCTGTGTATCTTTATTGGGACACCATGTTATACCATGTATAATATATCAAACTCTGTACTCCTGTCCAAATGTGCACTGTATTATTTTTTTTTTATTTCAAGTACTGAAATTGTATTATTTGATATTAGGATCATAACAGAAATAATCTAGTTGTCGTTTGAATGATTTTAATCTTATTGGGCTCAATAAGGTTAAAAAACTTATCCTTTAACTCAAAAACTAAAATAAACGAAAATCCCCCCTAAAATAGGGACTCTTCTCCCTCCGGTAAACCAAAAACAGAATTTTGCCGCCTCCCTCCCCATCCAGTCAACTAAAATCCAAAATTTACAACGGAGGGTTAGAAAGAAATAAACACTCTTAATCAATATTAAAATTTTTTTTATCAATAGAATTAAACAAAACAGAAAAGCTTCTTATTAAAAATGGGTTGTGAAATGAATAAAAGGAAAAAACTCAGATCATAATATGTTAGAAGAACTTTAAAAGAAATTATTATTCTTTAAAGATTTATTTTGTCATGAAGATTCAAAACAAACTGTTTAAATGTTTGAGTGGAAATTGGGGTGGGTTAAGCTAATCATGTATTCTTTTTCACCTTTTATCAATTTTCTTATGATGTTCTCTATTAAGTCTCTTCATAGTATCCTTTTATTAAATAATATTCCATATTTATATTTTTTTCTTCATTTTTATTTTCTAAATTAATTGTTTAGTATAATTGACGCATATTTATTTTTTTGCTCTCTGTTCTAAATATGATCAAGGAGTTTTAAAAACTAAAAATGCGCAAAACCGGAAAGCGAACCTTTACGGAAACATAATTTAAGAATTCGTCTATAGATGTCTCCACTTTTTACACTTTTTTGTACATCATTAATCTCAAATTATTAAAACTGTAATATAAATCTAAATATTAATAATTACAAATTTACTGTAAAGATTTAACATGGTTTGAATCTTGAAAAAAGTATAATTTTCTTGTTTTTCTTCACATATTTTTCATGTTGCTTTAAGTATTAAGTTTGATACTTCATGATTGTCAGAATGAACTTTATCCAGGATTTGCTCCACACTTCTTTTAATTTTTGATGGCTTCAGATATCATGGCCTATAATATAGAAATAGTTAATTTAGAGTTAAATCTGGAAACTTAACAGAATCATCAAAACTTGTTTTTTCTAACCTACAAAATATTAGATCATTATTAACTTAAATGTTTCAATACACAGATTTAGCATTAACATAGTTATTCCAATTAATAGAAATATTATTAACGTAGATTTTTTAATACAAAGATCTAACATTAACAATTTGACATAGATTCAAAGATCTATCATTAATATAGATGTTTCAATACACAGATCTCTAGATGTTTCAATATATAGATTTAGTATTAACATAAATGTTTCAATACAAAGATCTATCATTAACAAAGATGTTTTAATACAAAGATCTAGCATTAACATAGATGTTTAAATATACAGATCTATCATTAAAATAGATATTTCAATTCACAGATCTGGTATTGACGTAGATATTTCAATACATAAATCTGGTATTGAAATAGAGGTTTCAATACACAGATCTAGTTTTGAAATAGATGTTTCAATACAAAGATTTAGCATTAATATAAATTTTTCACTACAAACATCTAGCAGTGACATAGATATTTCAATACACAGATCTAGTATTGACATAGAGGTTTCAATATACAGATCTAGTATGGAAAAAGAGGTTTCAATAAATGTATCTTTAACATAGATGTATCAATACACAGATCTACTATTAACATAGACATTTAAATACACAGACCTAGCATTAACATATATGTTTCAATACAAAATTCTGGCATTAACATAGATGTTTCAATACACAGATCTCTAGATGTTTCAATATATAGATTTATTATTAACATAAATGTTTCAATAGAAAGATCTAGCATTAACATAGATGTTTCAATCAAAAGATCTAACATTAACATAGATGTTTCAACACAAAGATTTACATTAACATAAATGTTTCAATCCAAAGATCTATCATTAACATAGATGTTTCAATACACAGATCTAGCATTAACATAGATGTTTCAATACAAAGATTTAGCATTAAAATAAATGTTTCAATCCAAATATCTAGCATTAACATAAATGTTTTAATACACAGATCTAACATTAACATAGATGTTTCATTACAAAGATCTATCATTAACATAAATGTTTTAATACAAAGATCTAGCATTAACATAGATGTTTCTATACAAAGATCTAGCATCAAACATACATGTTTCAATACACAGATCTAGCATTAACATAAATGTTTCAATACAAAGATCCAGCATTAACATAAATGTTTCAATACACAGATTCAGCNGGGTAAATAATCAGGGTTTATTTATAGTTTATAGTTTAGTTTATATAGCTATTTTAATACACAGATCTAGCATTAACATAGCTATTTTTAATACACAGATCTAGCATTGACAAAGATGCAATTATTTTTTATAAATAAATAAATACGCACCTTGTAACCTTGTACAAAATCTTAATATTTATGAGTTTAATTTTGTTAAAAAGTCAAATTGAAGTTTTACCAAAACCCTCTAACTAAACAAAAATTTGGTTGGGGCTATGATGGCATGTGTTTCATGGTGTAGGGAAAGAGGAGGGGGCAGGGGAGAGGGGAGAGGGGAGGGGATAGGGAAGGGGGAGGGGCTCATGCAACTGATGTAAATGATATAGAACTAACTGCTTAGTATGGAACTTGCACCTGCCCTAATAACAAAGTTATTTTTATGTTCTAAAAAGGATTTCACACTTATCATTATTATTATTATTCCTTTTTATTGTTAAACAAAATTGTTATACAAATAAAGTTAGAATATTCCCCTTTCTCCTCATGTCTGTTTAATGATTATTTAAAAATTAACATATTACTTACTGACACTACTAACAATAATTTTCTAATCTCTTTATCTTTGAAACCTTTGATAATACTATGAATTCTTTTACCACAAATTTGTAATAGCTTTAAGTAATAGCATTAATTCACACATAAATATTTGAATCTTACTAAAACTTGTAGGCCTAAAAGCGTGCTTAACACCAGCTTTCTAAGTCCTTTCATTGCCTATTTTTCTTTGCCAAACTAATTCTCTGCTTTTACCCTCTTCCAATTTTTGGTTTTTTTGAAAACCCTGGACACAAGAAAGATGACTGCCTAAATTTTCCAAAGAAATTTTGAAAAGCTTCTAAAATATTCGCAATTGTTTTACACACTGTACCTGGTTAAAACTGTTTTATCATTTTTTAAGATATTATTTCTAAAAATGTATGATTTATTGTGTTTTTCACAACCTTTTGTAAAAACCTTTTTTCAGCTTAAATATATAGAATGCCTGGCCTTAAGAATGTTCTAGAACACCAAGAGAGTGAATTCACTCTGCTCGGCACCCCTGACAATTATAAACAGGTTTAAGTAAAGAGTTTTGAGAAAAAAAAACGAAAAACAAACAGCAGTTCTTCCTTTGCTTTAGAACCAATGCCTATCCCTATTTATAATCTGTTAATCTGCTTCTTATACCATTAAAAGAACTATTATACTGTATATTTGCATAGAAATAAATTATTCTATATGATATAAAATATATTTTAAGCTGTTGTGTGCCCCTAATATAAGATATTTAATTCATTATTTATATTTATCTATTAGATTCTTGGAACATGGGAGTTAGAATCTTCAGAAAATTTTGTTGAATTTATGGGAGCTCTAGGTAATTTCAATTTAGTTGAATTTTTTGAAGCTGTAGCAAAATACGATTTTGTTGAGTTTATTGAAACTTTAGGTAAATACAATTTAGCTGAGTTTATGGGAGCTCTAGGTAAATAAAATTTAGTTCAATTTATGGGAGTTTTAGATAAATACAATTTAGTTGAATTTATGGGAGCGGTAAGTACAATTTAGCTGAATTTATGGGAACTTTAGGTAAATACAATTTAGCTGAATTTATGGGAGCTTTAGGTAAATACAATTTTGTTGAATTTATGGGAGCGGTAAGTACAATTTAGTCAAATTTATGGGAACTCTAGGTAAATACAATTTAGTTGAATTTATGGGAACTTTAGGTAAAAATACAATTTAGTTGAATTTATGGGAAATTTAGGTAAATACAATTTAGTTGAATTGATCGGAGCTTTATGTAAATACAATTTAGTTGAATTTATTGGAGCTGTAGTTAAATACAATTTAGTTGAATTTATGGGAGCTTTATGAAAAACAATTTAGCTGAATTTATGGGAACTTTAGGTAAATACAATTTAGTTTTTTAAACTGGTGGTAGTTCACAGTAACATCTCTCAATTATCTATAAATTCTGTCACAGATTAGTTACATAAAAATATTTAAACTTTTGAATTTTTGAATTTTTACTTTTACTAAACAAAAACACGGTTAAACCTTAATAGCCTAATAAGTGGAATCTTAAATCAACATTTCAAATATTTTAACCCTGAATAATATTTTGCAGGAGTTTCTTCCTTTATGTTGATGGGTGAGGATGTTATGAAACCAATTATTGTTTTTTCATTTGTGAACCAGCTCAACCAATTCAAGGTAAACCAGTTTAACTAGCTCAACTAATTCAAGGTAAACCAGCTTAACTAGCTCAAGCAATTCAAGATACAACAGCTTAACCAATTCAAGGTAAACAAGTTCAACTAGATCAAGGTAAACCAGTTCAACCAGTTCAAGTTAAACCAGCTTACCTAGCTCAATTCCAGATCAAGGTAAACCACCTTAATCAGTTCAAGCTAGGGTTTGAAGCAAAAAGGAAAAATCTGTTTGTTAAGAAAAATTGTTGACAAAAAAATGCGAAAATTTCGATAAAATATAATTCAACATTTATTAAAGTATATATAGGAAGAGAAATTATTAATGTGAAATAATAAAACTTCAAATATTGAGCTATCAAAGCAGAGAATTCCACAATTTTTTTAGCATAGTTAATTGTTGCAGCTTTAACACTTATTGTTTTTCAAGGAATTATTTTTTCCCAAAAATATTGAAACAAAATTTTAGCAATTTCGCGAAAAGAAAACCCGCTCAGCCACTTCCAGTTCAACCAGTTCTAGGTAAACCAGTTCAACCAGTTTAAAATATAACAGCTCAACCAGTTACAACTTATTTATTTACTTTGAGAGTTTAGAAAATTACCAAAAGTAAGTATCTTTCAGAAAATCAATACTGCAGAAAACATTATAGATATTTTTTATTTATGATTTATCTAAGCAGAAACATTTTTTAAATCACAATAGATAATAGTTTTCGATGTTAAAATAGTTCTCTTTATTAAATCTGTAGATTGAGACCTCCACAGCATTGAAGAAATGTGAACTTGTTTTCAGGTAGGATCACAGAACAGAGATTAGAATAGAAAGGAATTAATTAATACCTTGGTAGGAATTTTGCCAGTCACTTTGATTTCTCTTTGGGTTGGATAGATTTAAAGTAATATTTGAAAAAATAACCCTTAATTTTCATGCAATGTTTCAGGCTTAAATTATTCAAAATTTGATTTTCTGTTTAGCTTAAATGTTTTTCAGCACAATTTTATACATAAATTGCTTGTCTGTCGACATGTCTCTGTCTGGGCGTCTGTTTGTTCGTATCCAAAAAACATCAAAAAGGCAGAAAGAAAGATCAAAATTTTAAAAACTAGCCTCGAATGAAATTCGATTTTCATTAAATTTTGAAAATTCATGACTTTTTTTAAATCCACAAAATTTTTTTGTTTTTGTTTTTTGAATGCAAATAAAGAGAAAATGCTCAATTAAAATAGAAGAATTGACTTTAAAAAAATGCTTTTCTGTCAATGAAAAATCTGCTCTTTTTATGAAATGTTCTGTCTATAAAATGTCTTATCTGTACAACGTCCTATCTATGCTTTTGTATCTATAAAATGTCCATCTGTGAAATGTATCACTTTTTATAAATAAATTTCTAAGTTTAATCAATTCTTGAAGCAGTACATTTTATAGCGTAATTATTCCATAGAAAAGTACATAAGTCTGATTATAATCTTTGTAAAAAGACAGTAAACAACTAATTTTCTTTAGGTTGCAAAGATTGCATGCTTTAAGACTTCAATATAGTTTTTAATGAAGAATAACTAGAATAAAGAATCTTTCTAACCCTATATGGTGGAGGGGGAGGGGGTGATTAATTTCTCACCATAGCCCTTTCTTTTTGAGTTTCTTTTTATGGTTAAACACAATCTAAAATTTCAATTTTAGTCTTGGAGAACCCTTTGTTGAGATTACAGGTAACATTTTACATTCTAGTTATTTTTTTTTTTATATAATTCTAGTTTTTCTATATAATTCAATTTTTTTCTATATATTTCTACTTTTTTCTATATAATTCTTTTTTTTCTATATAATTCTAGTTTTTTCTATAAAATTCTAGTTTTTTTCTATATGATTCAATTTTTTTCTATATAATTCTAGTTTTCATTACATAATTCTAGTTTTTTTTCTAAATAATTCAAGTTTTTTCTATATAATTCTAGTTTTTTTATATCTCATGGTAATACCTTGCAGTGATAACTCTAATTTAAAGATCCAAAATTTATTCTCAAAATTAAAAAGTGCACATTTTGGATATCAAGATATAAAATGTTTGTTTAAGATGTACAATACAAGAAAAGGAAGTGTGATAAATATCTTAACTTATTAAGAACAGTTCATTAAAAACAATTAGTCCTTTATAACTATAATGGTTAGGGAACTAGGGTGGTTTTTTAAAAGTTAAACTATGTTGGAAAAATGTTGATAAATATTTATTTGTAATTTTGACACATATAAACATGTGACACATACGTTATTAGTATTACAGCCATATTTAAGGGCTTTTCAATATATAAATAATATATTTTCGATATTTTATACCGACCAGGGTTTAGGAGAAGGACTAAATACAGTGTACAGTGTACAGTGTACAGTTTATATACAGGGTGAGTAAAAAGTGTGATTTGCGGCGTCTGGTGCAAAATTGTACCTTTTTTTGTGCAACTCTCCTGTATGGTGTCTTTTCAATATTTTTTGAAAATTTTTAATTTTTTTTGGTACTCCAATGGTCCAAAAGAAAATCCACGAATTTTTTTTTTCTCTCAAAATCAAAAGTTCAGCAAAGCAAAAATGTGCATTCATACTATTTCTCTCTAAATCTAAAATTTTATTAAGATTGAATCACAGAATCACACAAAATTGGCAAAATTGTAATAAGAAAATTCACAATTTTCAGTTCTGAGCTAATTTTTATGGAATAGTTATTTAAATTCTCTAGTTCCTATCTTCTTAGCATATTCTAAAGTAAAAAATGTACGCTGTTCAGTTGAAACCTTGAGAACCATTGAAAAACCATTTAATCCTTAAAAAATATACCAGAACTGAAAATGGCAAATTTTCTTATTATAATGTTGCAAATTTTCTGAGATTCTGTGATTCAATATTTTTAAAATTTTAGATTTCGATAGAAACAATTTATTTTCACATTTTTGTTTTTCTGAATTTTTTTTGTGCCATTGAAGTACTAAAATAAATACTAATTTTCAAAAAATATTAAAAAAACACCATACAGAAGATTTGCACAAAAAAGTTACACTTTTGCACTAGGCACCGCAAATCACACTTTTTTTGACTCATCCTGTACGTACAGTGTACATACATGTGCATAGTATTTATACTGTACGCCTAGGGATATTAACATTATCACTTTTTTAAAACGATCAAATTTCATTATGAAAACGAAACAAAAATGAAAACGAAACTATTGTTATTTTAAATGGTCTTTTTCAAAACGATTGTGTTAAAAATGATCTTTTTTCAAAATGATCCTTTTTATAAAGCTCATTGCTTCCTTAATGATCATTAATGAAGTTCCTTGGTTAACAAAAAAGTTGATATTTTCTTAAAAACGAAGGTTCTGTGTTAACCACCATTATTGAAACAAAGAGTTTTATAAAAACGATTGTTTTGAAAAATGATCGTTTTTATAAATGATCGTTTTGAAAAATGATCGTTTTTAAAAACAAACCTTAAAAACAAATACTTTAAGAACAAACTTTATATAAATTAATAGTTTTTGAAAACGATCGTTTTCGTTTTTTAATATTTTGTTGTAGTTTTCAAAACAAAACAATGGTTTTTCAAAAAACTGAAGATGTTAACATCCCTAGGCTGAAGGTCATATGTATTAATATCATTGAGCAGTTTTAAAAAAGAATTTCAAAAAGTTTTAGCTCCCCCACAACTTTTTACCTTCATATAACTCGACATCCAATAAAGTTGCATTTAATTTTTTTTTTGAAAAACAATTGTTTTTTTAACAATTGTATTTATTTTCTGAAAGTTTTTAAACACAATCAAAAAATAAAACAAAAAACGATTTTAAACGATCATTTTTAAAAACGATTAACAACCCCATGTAATAAAAATGTCAACGTTTTGATTTTTCTAGATTTTAGCTTTCGTTACGATAGTGTTCATCAAAAGTATTAACGTTTGAAACGTTATGTTGCACATAATGAAATTTATAACATAGAGTAATGTTACGTAATGAATTTTCTGCACTTGAATATATTATACAACGTTAAGCTTTAGTAAATGTTAGTGAAAAAACAGAAAGCTCTGTTACGCTTTTGCATTTCCCGCTTTAAAAGCTTTCCCAACGTTGCGTTAAAGCTTATGTAATAAAACCACAATTTTTTAATGTTCCACTTTCATGCAAGGTAAATATTTTCAGAGACCTTACGTTACATTTTCACTTGGTTTAAGATCTAAAAGATGACAAATGGTTTGCTTTAAGAAAACATCATTGGGGCATAGTTCTGTACGTTACAATTCATTTCAGTGCAAAGAATATTTTTTGTTAACGTTACGTTTTATCTTAACTTTTCCAATATAAACTCTTTCAATTATGTTTAGAAATTTTACTAAAATGCACCTTTTCTTATGTTACGATTTATCAAAACGTTATAGTGAAAACTTTTTTGGTACAACTGACAATCAAAACTGTTTATTTGTTTCGATTTTAAGAAAGATATGAAAAAATGTTCTATACATTGCATTGTATTGAAATGTTCAAGCCTTAATATTTCTAACAATATACACTTCTCAAAGTGTGTCTTTAAGGGGCTACAGGCGTAATTTCAAGTGACCTTCCATTTTTGGAGTGGCATGTCCAGTAGGGTTAGTCAATATTGGAATAGAGCCAACCGCCCACTGGAAGTCGCTGCGTTTTCATCGTAAGGTCACAAAAAAAATTTATTTTTTATTTTCATGTTTTACATTATTTTCTTGGAAATTCAATGCTAAATTAAAATCTGAAAAGCGTTTTTAAAAATTGAAAATTGAGTGAGTCAGAGCTAAAAAACTAATCAAAAACATTAATAAGTTTAAATCTGAATTCAGCATGAAATTTCCAAAAAAATGATGTATCATATTTATTTTTTGAAATATTTTTTTAGATCTTGGGGCGATTTCTCCAATTTGTCAATTCGCAACCCTATGGACGATTTTGAAATTTTTTTTATTGCAATATTTTTATTAATTTAAAATGCAGCGACCTCAGGTGGGTGGCTGGCTGAGTTCTAAAAAAAGTCACAAATCAATCACCCTTAATGTCCAGTATACATTTACAAGCTAGGAAAACACAAGCTTAAAAAATAGACATGTTTTGGAACACTTCATAAAATGAGTTAAAATTCGGCAAGGCAAACCACTTTTGTATGTGGAACAGTAGTTCTAAATTATTTTAGATTAGTTTAGGGTTAATTTTTTCTTTTTTTTTACTCAATGCAGAATTCATAGTTTAAAATATCTAAGGTCTACAACATTGGGTAGCAAAGATATAGGAATTAGAAATATAAGTTTGTGAACAACTCAATTCATTTCTTATCTAACAGAATTCATAGCTTGAAATATCAAAAGTCTACAACACCAGCTTGCAAAGATGTAGAAATTAGAAAATTATAATTTGTGGCGAATTTTTAGTTTTTAGTTATTTTGTGTTTTTTTTTTATGTTACTTACAAAGTGATTAAAAATGCGGCATTAGCTTTAGTTTACAAACCACAAGGGAAATGTTTTCAGAGTTCATGTTTGGGGTTAAAAAATATAAAATTTAGTAAGACAAGTGCTAAATTTTTTTCTAACACAAACAACGGGAAATAAAATTATTTTACTTTTTTTCGTTTTAAAAAGAAATCAAGTAAAAAATCATTTTTTTCTATTCTAAAGTTTCATAAAAATCTATTGATGAATAAAACATAAAACGCATTTTCCATTTGATAAAATATTGTTGCATTTTAGTAAGTATCTACATATCTAAATATTTCAACCTAAAACATGAACCACGTCAACTGAAGTTTGATTTTAAGTGGTAAAATAAACATGAAACCCAGCAATTGTGTTTGTTCATAGACCCGTTCCACTTAATAATTTGATTTTTTTGCAATTAGTAAATCATTTGCATTATTACAGAAAATGCATATGTAAAATGTCTTAATGTCGTCTTCTTTTTCCAGAGTATTAGTGGGTTTCATCAAACATTGGTAAATCAAAAACTTTCAATGTCCAAGAAACATTATAAGATTTTATTTTTTTTCAAATTTACTTATCCCTATATCTGTCCAACCCGATGGTTTAAACCTTGTATATTTCAATATTAATGGTCTACGACATCGGGTTGCAAAGATATATTACATGAAAATTAGAGATTTTGGCATAAACTCATTTTCTTTAAACTTGAAATGAAAAACCATAAGTCTTTGCTTTTATAATCATTAGAATTATTGTTACACTTTTGAAATTAAAACTCAGCCCTCATAGTCTAACGTTTCATGAACAACATTTTCATCAGACATATATCTAATGTTAGACTAATCAATTTAGTATTCAGAGAAAAGTTATATGGTGTTTTGATTTACAGAATTACATTTTTTAAATGTTATACGTTACATTATTGAAATTTTACTCTGTAAAAAAGCTTTCGTTTTCTGATTATTAAAATAATAACCCATTTCTGCAACGTTGAATTTTTCATTATACTATAAGGGAAAACGTTTTAAAACAGTAATGCATTTATCAGTTATACAAGGTTACACTTTTTATAAGTTGAACTTCGAAATAGAAATCCTTTCCTTACGATATTCAATCAAATCACAATTAATTTTTCAAACGTTAGACTTTCAAGCTCCCCATGGAAACAAATCATTTCTTTACGTTATTGTCAAAAAGTTGTAGATATTAGAAAAATAACGATACATTTCCACAAAACCCTAAGGTTGGGGATATGTTCCTCTAACGTTAATGTTTAACTTTAAGGTTAGGTATGAGCTCCTATGACGTTAACGTTTAATGTTCACGTTATATAGAATATATACAAACGTTACACATTATTGTAAAGTAATGTACAAAAACGTACATTTTACGTTACGTTACACTATTGTTGACATCTCTACCATGTACACCTAAATGTATAAATTGTATCAAGTGTAGTGCAGTTGTACAGTGTACATTGTACATTGTACAACATTTGTACAGTGTACACCTAAAAATATAAACTGCATCCAGGGGATGGAAGGAGAACTAACAGCACTGTACAGCTTGAAGGAAACATTATGACTCATGTACAGAATGGAGAATTGGCCCGGTAAGTTTGCTTAATAGATTTCAACACGAGGAAAAGATTTACTTTACATTTTGTAAAGTTCTTCTTGAAACATTTTCATTGCTTATTCCAGGAAACATTTTCTCTTCATACAGTACAGTACAGTACATTAATATTAGTATTGTTAAGGGGGAAGAAAAGTACCACTATTAATATTATGATTGTTAATTGGGGAGAAAAGAACAAATATTAATATTATTATTGTTAAGGGGGAAGAAAAGTACAACAATTAATATTATGATTGTTAATTGGGGAGAAAAGTACATTTATTAATATTATTATTGTTTAGGAGGAAGAAAAGTACAACAATTAATAGTATAATTGTTAAGTGGGGAGAAAAGTACAACTATTATTATTATTATTGTTAAGGGGGGAAAAAAGTACAACAATTGTTCGTATTTTCAAAGAGAGCAGCCTAGAAACAGAATGCACTATCACAGGTAAACCTTTGTATCCAAAAAAAAAATTTAAGTTTGTTAAGCAACTATTAATTTCTTTTATTCATAGAATGCAGGTTATAATGATAATTTCTTAAAAAATAATGTTTTAGGTCCAGGAGAGAAAATTTCATGTAAAAGGTAACACAATCTTAACAGTGGTTAAATAGATTTTACAAAGGTTTAATTTGTTTTCAACAATTTTAACATTGCTTTTAAACTCAAATCGTAGGGAATGGGGCATGTCGAGTATATCAAATAATGAAGACGACTTTCTATTTCAATTTTAATTTGTATCAAGTTGTTTAACAGCATGGATAGTGGATAAACCTCAAATTGGAGGGATAATTAGGTATTGTCATATTTTATTGATGAACATTTTATAAATAGGACATTTTATAATATATTGGATATATTGGAAAAAGACATTTCAAAGATTGATTATGTTATAGAAAAAAAATCTTAGACAGAACAATTAATTAAGAAATTTAAACAAGAAATATTAAAAAAGAGATTTCAAAAAAAGGAAATTTCGACAACTAAGAACAATTCTTATAGTTAATTATCTGTGGTAGGCGATATATCAACAAATGAAGACGACTTTCTACTTCAATTTTAATTTATATCAAATTGTTAAACAGCATAGATATTGGATACACATAAACATAGAAGTAAAGAGAATCTGTCGATTAAAAAGCCTCTCTTTGATTACTTGTTAATTTGTAATTAGAAAAAAGCTTGTAAAATAAACTAAAATAAATAATCGCTTACCACTGTATTATAAACTGTTATTTTTATATATGAAAACTGATTTCTGTCTGTGATAACCTATCTATATAATGTTAACTCTATGGAATATCCTATCTATGTGAAATGAAGAGATTAAGCTTTGCATGCCAGGTTAATGATTATCCAATTTAAAAGTTCCCAGCTCTAAGCAAACAATATATATATATATATATTAAAACACTATAAGATATATTGTATATTCTGATATGTTCCTATCCTATTCCACTAATCTGATTATACCAAGCTCTTTTATCAATATTCTTCGTCTCTTTCATCTCTTAGGAAAACTTTCTTGTTTATTGTGTTAAAGTAGCATTCTTTAAAGAGATTACCTATTTCAAAATACTCATAATATACAAAGGAACTTTTAGCAAATAATTTCACTGTGTTTTTGGAAAATGATGTAGAAGCCTGGATGTTTACAAGTCCCAAACAAAGCTCAAACCCAATGAGAATTAAGTTCATTAGAATCTGTCATGAAGTAAACATAAATGTATACTTTCTACTTTTCAGTGCAAAAAGTGTACTTTGTACTGTGCATTGCAGTAAAGTGTACTTTTACTGTGCAGTCTAGTACAGTATAATTTGTATTTTGCAATGTAATTTGTACTATTTTGCAGTGCAGTACAGTGCAATGTATACATTGCTGTACAGTACTGTATAATGTGTTCTGTGCAGTGCAGAATAGTATAATTTGTACTGTGCAGTGCGGTACATACTTACAGTGTACTGTTTATTTCAGGGTGTACAAGAGAATACAGGATGATTATGCTCTTCAAGATCTATCTCTTTGTCCTATTTAAAAGATTATTAATAAAAATCTCAGTAAAATATTGTTCATTTATTTCCTATGAAAGGAGAATAATATCTATTTGTGTCATTGTAATGGGTATTAATAAGTGCAAAAAAGTTTTTGCCGGGATTTTTATTTTGATCAAAAACAAACCAGAAAAATTTAACCATCTATGTCTGAACTTAATATTTTTCAAAATATTTTTTTGAAACTTTCAATTTATCTTAGAAATGTTCCCTGAGGAACAGAAATATTTTTATTTTTTCATACAATGCATAGTTTTAGAGATAGTGACGGTCGATATCGAACGCTTTGTCAACACAGGATCTTAAAATGGCCAAAATCGACCGCTCCGGAACAAAGCAAAGTTAGTAGATTTTACTATTAAAAGTAAATATATCTATAGTTAAACATTGAACACAGCTTGTTTGTAGTTTGTAGTAAAAAAAAAATATTTTGAAAAATAATAAGTTCGGACATAGACGGTTAAAAGAAATCAAACGAATATCAATATGAAGATTATGGAGAACTTGAGCAGTGATTGGATTCTAACCAATTCTTCTGTCTTTCTTAACTACTTGGTGTGGAAGTTCGTAAACAACTGACTAGTTTCTGTACAGGTTGATCAGCTCACCTGAACTAGCCAAAATCATAGGTAAACGCCCTGGGAACCCCAGAATACATGGTCCCTTTATTTTAGCGTCAGGTTTAAAATAGATTTCACAATAGACTATACACAACAGAGAATCAGGGTAAATATTCTTAGATCGCAAGATTATCGTGTTTTGCTCAACTGCTACACTATCATGTAGGAGGGAGTTAGTTCTGCATGTGATCTCTATCAGCTCATAATTCGCCATAGAGTCAAATATTCAACTATGTGTTCTCAATAATCACAAGTTTACCAATTCATATTGTTTCATTACGTTTTATGTGTATATAATTGTTTGGTGTACAATATGCAAGTTGATTCATTACAGTTGCAATAGATGAGTTAATTGTTTTTAAAAACACTCACAAACGATAATTTTTTGTTTCGTTTTCCGATCGTTTCCAGAAAAGAAAGTTTTGTTTTTGGAAAAAAATTGTTTTTAAAAACAACCCACTTGTTTTAAACTTTAATAAAACAAATAACAATCCTTTTTGAAAACCATCGTTTTTATAAAACAATCAGCGATCGTTTTTTAAACGATTGTTTTAAAAAACCAATAGTTTTTAAAACTTTTTTTCATAGCGGTTTCCTCTCTCCTCCTCTCTTCATTAACAATCATTCTCCTCTCTTCATTAAAAATCATTGACAAAGGGTCGTTGTTAACAATCGTTAACAAACAACAAAAAACAAACTTTTTTAAAATGATCATTTCGTTTTTTTTTTTTTTCATCGTTTTCATAACAAAACAATCATTTCTCAAAAAAAATTAAAAAGTTAACATCTCTAGACATGCTCAAACAATTTGGTATGCCCTTTCAGGTTAATTTCATTCATTCCAACTATTTTGTTTCAATTCAGATTTTAGTTTTCTCCGGGTTTTGATTCATGCCTAATCGAAAACCGAAGACGAATAATGTACACAGCCAGAACTCTGCATTCACTGCATTAAGAAGGTACGTTATTGGTTGGACCATGCATATGCAGAAGAGATCTTAATATTTTTGAAGCAACCTGTATTGCATTCTTGGTTGGACTAGACAAGGTTTCAGATATATACCTGCCAACCAGGGGTAAAAATTCTTCCAAAATACCATAGAATGTATCCATGGTACAAGAAGAATCATGTTTATGTAGAGATTTTTTTTCCGTTGCATATAGTATTACTTTTTAAGTAAAGATTTATTTGAGTTGTTTTTAAGTTAGTCCTGGCAAGGCTCACTTTGTAGTAACCCGTATTATCTGAACTATTAGTACGTTCTGGAGCTGAATGTGTAAAGAGAGAGTGTAAATAATTAAAATACAACTCTAAAATTATTCATTACACACAGTGAGCTTTTTAGAGTGTGCCAACTCTAACAGTACTAATAGCAGAGTGGAAAGTGGTTGGAAAGTACCATAGTTCTAAATCTAATGGTGTTGGAACTTTCAAATTACCTTGGAACCATGTCAGTATACTTACTTGTATACTGTGATAGATAGTGCACTGTGTTAAAGTATCTGCCTGTATACTGTGATAGATAGATAGTGCACTAAGCTCACACACTAGTGGATAGATAGATAGATAGAACTATCATCCATACAGTGAACAATATAAGTTAAAGGGACCTTCAGCGTTCTCATATTCTGTTAAATATGCAGACATATTAGATTCCAAGAATGGCTAGCTCCATTTCCCACTTCTTAGCCACCTTTAATGTATCCGAAAATGTTATTTCAGGCATACTACCTTTTGAGTTGGAACCCCTCAATACCTTAAGAAAACAAATAGAAGAAACTCTCCTCCATCAGGATGATACCACCAACCTTCCTTCCAACCTCCCTTTAATCTTAAAGAAGATAAGAACTAGGGAATCCCAGATAGCCGCCCAATCTGCATATCAAGCCCAATGCAAGAATATATGCGAGATCATCGGAAGACAGGAGGATGCAGACTGGGAGATTCTAAATATCCAATTGAACCATGACCCAGAAGAGTTAAAATCCCTGAATAGAAGAACCCTGGATGAAATTTCCCGATGTCAAAATGAAAGAAGAACAGCGGAGAAACTCTTAACAAAGTGGAGACATACCACTAATCGAGAAAATGTTGAAGCAGGCCAGTCCTTTGAGGATGCCCTCATAGACCCGGAAGTCACAGAACCTCTACTCTGCTCGGCCAATCTGAATCTTATCATAGAAGAAGATTCTAGCAACACTAAATTTACCCTAGCAGAGAAATTCATGCAAAGTTTGGTACTGTAAACTGTAAGTTGAAATTACGGGATACAAAACTCCCTTCCTTCACTGGAAAAGAAGAAGATTACTTCCGGTTTAAATCTGAAGTTTTAGATATTTTAAAAAATTCCAGAAATGACCCATCAGCTCAGACCCGAGCTGTTAAAACTGAATGTTTCAACAACTGTCAAAAGATTCTTGAGATTGTTAGAAATTGCGCAAGTATAGATGGGATTTTTCAGTGTTTGGATGAACGCCTGGGCAATACTGACCGTCATGCCCTCCGTATCATAACAAGTATTGAAAAGTACCCAGCAGTTGCACAAGATTCTAAAAGCATAATTGCTTTTTCAGATTTTATTGAAAAAATTTCTGGCGACATTATTGGTGCAAATGTACTTGAACATGTTGCTAGTTTCCAAACTGTATCTAAGATCAAATCAAAGTTTACACCACTAATGTCCCGGGATTATATTAGGCTCTGTAATTCAAAAGCTAAACAAAACAGTGTACAGGAATGGGAGACCATACTTTCATTTCTGAAGCAAGAAAGAGAAACTGCTCTGAAAATTTCAGCTTTTGAATCTACAGCTCCTAATATGACAGGGAAACAGGTTCCTAACCAATCTAGGATTAATGTAATCCAAACTGTACCGCAGCAAGGCAGTACTAAATGTGTCTTGTGCAATGGACCAAATCACCTTCCTTTTCACCCAGCCTGCATGAAAACTGGTGCGAATTTTTCAAGTGATACCTTGTCACTCATCAAGAAGGCAAAATTTTGCCCAACTTGTCTATATCCGGGTTGCAAAAAACGTCCTTGTGACAATCTCAGATACACTTGTAGAGCTGGATGTAAAAATGGTGATGGGATCAAATTGCACAAGCATATTTGTGACTGCAATGCAGCAAAAAATCTGCACAGTAAACTGAACAGTCAAGTGTCTGTAAGAACATGCGCTATTAAACGTCCGGTTTCTAATAAGTACAACTTTGGTACTTCTATAATGTTGTCTGAAAGAGCCGTCATTATCGACCCAAAAACCAATAAGCCAATCAGAATTTCTATTCAGTATGACAGTGGAGCCACAGACAGTGTCTGTTCAGAAAATATAACTGTACATGGAAAACTTACTGATAATGTAAAAAATCTACACATTGGTGGATTTACAGAAGATTTTAGTAAAGTACATCAAAATGTTAATTTGTATTCTTTTCAGCTGAGAACTTGTCGTGGTCTGGAGTCAGTGGATGCA